TACAAAAACCAAAATAAAATCCCACACATAAATAATAATTAAAAAAAAAAAAATCATCACATGACCAGTAGCACATTCTAGTGCTGGAAGATAGCAAGGTTTAGTGCCATGTCAAAATACATTTCGACTCCTGAAACTGTTGCCAGGTGTAGTTCAAATCCAGGTTCTTGACAAGACAAAAAGCAATGCCAGAAGTGCGGTAAAGCAAAAATCAATAATCCAGATGTCATCTTTGTTGACCTGACAACGCAGAATTGGCTGCGTTGAGCAACTGCACATGATTGCATCTGCAGAAAAGACTAAAAAACATGCAGAGAAATACACACGTTGCCATTGCCAACCACCTCCTGATAATGCTAGCTACCTGGCTGTCTGACTTCAATACTTTACTATTTAAAGTTCCGGTTTACTTTATTATTTAGCAAGTTTATAATAAAGGTGAAACTAGTAAATGCAAATACAGAGAAGCGATTTACTTGGAATCCCTAATTAAATGCAAGGAGAAAAAAAAAGTTTTTGCTTTTTTATTATTAGATGATCGCAGTGAAGACACATTCATCTCGTTTACCAAGCCAAATAAATATTCACTTTACAAAATGGAATGCGCTTTGTTGCTTAAAGTGACACTAAGCTCGGGAGTTAACCATAAAAAAAAATTGGAGTTACGTACCTTAATCTACTAAGAAATGTACCTTATTTGTGTATCCCTCAGCTGTAGAGCCTCAAATCATCTCTGAATTGGTGCTGACACTGTCCTTCCTTCTGGAGGGTGGCTACTTTTGTTCCCCATGGTCCCTGTGTGTGTTGTAGTGTAGCCACAGCTCCAAGCACAATCCTGTGATGGACTCAATATAAATGAATAAACTAAACATGAGGTTGGAATCCATCTTGAGAGCGAGCTTGGAGTGGTGACTACTTTACACACACAGGGACCCTGTGGAACAAAAAGTAGCCACCCTCCAGAAGAAAGGACAGTGTCGGCACCAATTCAGATATGATTTGAGGATCTACAGCTGAGTGATGCATACATTACATCAGATACATTTTTATTAAAGTACTTGAATGCATTTTTAAGGTTTAACTCCTCAATTTAGTGTCGCTATAAGTAAATCAACCCCACTGATCTGGAACAAGTATGCAGACCAGAAAAGTCAGTGATTCAGAATATGTGATATACACATCAGGTCATGGAGAGTACTAAATCTACTGGGTCAGAATGACAGCCAACACACTAGTATTTTTACAAGGAGGAGGTCAACAAAAGCAGCCTGGGTACGCTATGAGAACTGGTTTCCTTTAATCTGCTTGCTGCAATATAGCAAAAAGCACCAAGTCAAGTGCCTGCTGTCTTCCAGGGGCAATGTGAATAGAAGGATTTAAAAACTATAGGATGGAAAAATATAAAAAGAAGCACATGAGGATAGCTAAAAGTACAGTTGGAAATTACTGTAAAAATAGGTTTTAATTAAGCAATTTACATAGGCCTTTAAACTCAAAAAAGCAAAAATTTGCTTAAAAATACACTGTACCCAAAGTGGTAAAAACAAATACACTTTTGCTGGTGTCAGATTCTCAGAGCTTGGGATCTGAATGCGTATATTCCAACAGTCCATGTATTTTCCAAGTAAAAAATAAAGTCCTCCAGAGAATCATGAAATAAGCTGTAAAGAGGGAAGAAAAACAACATTTAAAATTGTGGAAGTGCTTACCCTGCAGAACATACCAAATACATAGAAAGGTCAACAGAACCACCATTACAATACACACCGAGGGGAGCAGATGTGCATGACAACCAATCAGCTTTCAAATCTTAGCAGAGAAGCCGAATGGTTGCCATGGTCAACTGCTCCGGTTTTGATAAATTCCCCCCCGCTGTGTCCAAGCACCAAAACTGTTGCCAAAAATCAAAAGCAGATCTGCCAGCAGAAAAAAAAAACTTTGTACAGTTGTGGGGCACACTGCAAATATATTCACTTCCTAGCAGTGTAGATAGCTGGCCTGTCCCTCTTGCAACTGGTTAGTAAAACCGGTCATCACAGTGGCCAACTAAATAATATGACGAGGGAAAGGGGTGGTGTAACTGGTGTGCATGTCAGATAAACACTGCTAGGGAATATGCAAATTTGCATATTGTAGTGCTGTGCCATTGAAATTTAATCCCCACATGAACCCCTAAAAAACTGAATGTAGGCACATCAGGGGAGGTAAATGTTAAGTGAATCCGTGCCCAGACTATACACATTTGAATATTTACATATTCTGAAAAGCACTTAATAACAACCTCTTATTTACTTCTGTAGCTATAGGCACTGTGGAGAAATTAGTCTTCAAAGTCCACAATAGAGGCACAGAAACCTTAGCTTTGTTCCTATTGGTCAGGGTTCACATCTGTGGTGTGGTGAGGCAACGCTTATTATAGGTTGATGTACTTTTTTTTTTTTTTGCATAGCGTGCTTAAATGCATGTAGCGTTACTATGTGTTGGCCACTGGCAAGGTGCATTGTGCTGCCTTTATAATGAAATGGCAATGCAGCGCACCAACACGTTTGCACTTAGAAATTGCCGTTAGAAACCAAAATGTGAATCAGACTTCAGAATCTTTCTTACGATCTTTCAGAATGAATAACTTGACAGTACAAGCTGCTAGAGAGGTCAGTGATGGCTTGTTTTATAAAAGGCCAAGTTTACCTTTTTTTTGTTTTTAACTATGTTACACTCATATTCACACTGTAAAATGAAATATGGTCACATTGCCACCATGGCAGGGTTCTTCTTCCCATGGGGTGATTTTTTAAAAATCTAGTGCAGCTGTGCGTGGCTTCACCCACATCACCTATTCACAGATCCTTTGACAGGGTCTGAAATGGAGAAACTACAATTCCTGTCTGCCATTGCAGCAGAGGAACTTATATTTTGCAATGGATTGGACAGACGTCACCACACCTGTAGTCTATTAAGACTTACTCCTATCCCTGTAAAAAGGTGCCCATACACTGTATGATTATCGTATGATAATTGCGGGAAATCCCGCGATCGAACGGTAATCGCAAAGTGTATGGAAGGCGTGCGACCGTTTCTACTGTACGGTCGCACGTCTTCGGTTAACAAGCAGGCTGGAAAACCCCCGAAAAAAATCGTACGATTCTCGGTGGGTTAGTGGCCTGCTTGTTCGACAACTGCTGAATGGGCCGGTGTGCGCACACTGCCCGTTTGCAGTCATCGGAAGCCCGCCCCTCAGGGGGGCAGGCTTGCGATGATCGCAAGTACGACGTGCCTATCCAAGATGGGCAGATCGTACGTTTTTTTAAATGACTTTACAACCCTCGCAAGACAGAGTCTTATAAAGTGTATGGCCACCTTTACGGCAGGAGCCAGAGCATAGTACTTGCAATCCACAAACATTTTTTTTTATTTTTTTATAAATGCATAATTTGTTTAGGATTATGTGTGCATTTACCTTTAGGCTCTTTTACATCTTTTTAAGTATATGAAAAAAATGTAATGTCCATAGTCTGGGCACAGTTGAACTAAGATAGAACAAAACCTTAAAAGGCTATACATTTGAGAATCAGATCACGTAATGTTTAACCCCTTGGTGACGGGAGATGTATACTGCATGGGGCTCTGTAATGCCGGTAACTGCTAAGAATCAGTGGTTACCATTCATTAGCTGCAGATTTGTTTGTTATACCCTCTCACGACAGTGATGTTCAAAGTACGTCGCTGTCATGAAGTGTGACACTTAGTGACATTGTATGCCAAGTGACCACTTTTTAGCGGAAAAAAAAAAAAAAATTAAAAAATATTTTTTAGTTTTAGGCTAAGTACAGCATTTTTTTTTTCTAAAATCCTACGGTTTTTCCAAATAAAAAGGACAAATGTATTTAATGCATTCATTTTAGTTGTGCAATTTTTCTAAAAAAAAAAAATACTACAAAACAAAACTGGGGAAAAAAAAACCCCCCCAAAAAAGTTTTTTCCTCCCCCCCCCCCCTTTTAAAAATGTTTTATTTGTCTATAATATATGTGGGCGCACTTTGTAAGAAAGTATATGACTGACGTGGAAGAATCACAAAGCAAAAATGTCATAAGTGTGTCAATCATTTACGAACAGAAACTAAAAAAAAAGCTCAGTCATGAAGGGGTTAATAGATACATTTAACGGCACCAATACACATACCTCTTTAACTGTAGTCTTGATTAAGTTTTTTCTTGAGGACAAGTCGTGAGTAGGATAACTCTCATTTACCTAACAAAAAAACAGCACACAAACAAGAAGTTGCAATATGAATTGTTCCAAAGATCCCATGCACCAACACCTTCTATGTAAACTGACGACATGTCAGAAGTAAACAGTGCAGACTTGTATTATTACAATATTGCTGCACAAGCCATTTTGTAATTTGTTAAAAATGACCTTTCCATCTAAGGCTACAGTCACACTAGGTGTATAAAGATGCGTTTCAATTGGTTGTTCTAAACGCATATAGAGCATAGGAATCGGATTTCCAATGGATCTAGTCACATGTTATGATTATAAGCTTTTATCTCTGCAGTCAGTTTTGATGCATGTAGAAAGAAAAAAAAAAAAATAGAAGTCAGGTGCGTCCAGGAATTGATTTGAACTTCTAAACCCACCAACACACGACGGGTTTATTTGCTGAAATCTCATTGGCTACTTCAACGGACAAAGGAGAGATGAATTTAAACACGTGGGTGTAAACGCACATCATTTTAAGCTTCTAGAAGCATAAACAAATCACCTAGCTGGCCAGATTTTGCAGACATATCTGCACAAAAATACAAGTGCCAAGTGAGAATGAAGCCTAAAACTGCAGCCTCTGTAATTTTCTAAAACTGTCAAACAATTAAATGAAATATGGTGGACAAAATTGCGTGCAGCCGTCTGTACCTCACTACGGGAGAACAATGCTGCACACTAAACCCAAAAAAAATGCACATCTGTGTGAATGAGACTAAAATGTTTATTACTACTAAACGGATGCCGACACTGCACCTCGTCTCATTTGAGCATAGAAAGTCCACCAGCTGATTAGAATGAGCCCAGACCCCTCCCATTAAGACATGCAGCAACCAACTGCCATTTCTTAAGGACAGAAAAGGGTAGGAACCTGCGACAAAAGTTGGATACAATTCTTGCAATGTGCATTGATCACCCAGAAGGGTTTTTGGCCAACAAAAGTGGAGTTACCCTTTAAGCATACCTTTTTGCAGATTTGTTTCATTGTGACTTCTTCAAGATTTGCTTCTGCCAAAAGCTTTTTCACGGTTTCTCGGATTTCTTCATCAGTGGGTGGTTTTTTCATCTTCTTGATCAAGGGTTATTAAAAAGCTCCAATAAATCCAACATGTAGTGACATGGATAGATATATAATTAAAAAAAACCCACAAACACGTAAGCCAGTCTTGGATAACGCCTCCTACTACCAGCATGGAGGAGTGGGACTTGCGTCTCAAAATGGACTCAAAAGGAATTAATTGTATGGTGAGTACCAGAAACCTATTTGTTTCTTGTCCATGTAGGAACAAGTTTTCACCTTCAGGATGTCCAAAAGCGGTCCAACAGCAGGTGTGTAGAAAGCAGAGTTGAACTAAAACCTCTCCCAAATATCCACAAAGCTAGCTTGCATAGAGCACCTTAAAACTGACAGTTAATAAAAAGGTTCTTATCCCATATACATCCCATTGCATCTGTTCTCTAATCAGACAGGTGTAAGTAAAAGTTACTTCATTGGAGTGGTGAACATGCAAAAGCAGCAAAACATACAGTGGCAGTGCTGTGATCTCACATGTACCAGCTAAAGCTCAGCAAACATATGACCTCCAACACCTCACGGCTATGGTTTTCTCTGAACATTCCTTCACCAAAGATCCTGAGCTGCAACAGGGAGCAATCCAGAAGTTCTCCTGCCGTGTATAAATTCCCATGATTCACAACCAGTAGGCTATGCTCCTGGAGGATTGCCAAACCACTGCTCAGACGACAACTGCAGACAAAGGCAAACAATAGTGCTGATTCATGGATACCATAATAAATATAATTGTATTATATTCTGTGCTTTTAAGTCAGAGCCTTGCTGTTGATAAAGCAGACTTTTCTTGCTATGGTGTGACACCGTGCACTAGGACATCATACGCAGGACATTGAGGGGCGTGAGAATGGGGTGTACCCAGCAACACTAGATGGATCCCTGTTGCAGCTTGGGCTCTTTGGTGAAAGACTGTTCAGGGAAAACAGCACACCAGGAGTGGCGAGGTGCTGAAGAAGCCATGTTTGCCAAGCATTAAGTGGCATATGTAAAACAATACTGCCTGCATGTGTTTTTTCTGCTTTTACATGTTCACCACCCTGCCGACTGAACCTTTACTTACACCCCTTTGTTTAGATCCTTTGGAGACTGAACACAGTTGGTCATGTAGCGTTTTTTTTTTATAGGTACGTATACGTTTTTATACCTGCAGCAAAACTAATGAGCTAAATGCAAATTAGTTTTGTGGATATTTGGGAGAGATTTTACATTGTAATTGGACTTAAATGTGTTTCGGAGCATCTATAATACAACTGCATCACGTACAAAGTTCATACTATGGCAAATACATTATATATGAGGGGTTTTTTTTTGTTTTTGTTTTTTTTAATTGCTGCAAACCTCTGATGAACCCCATTCATTTACAGCAAACTGCCAGATCACTTTAGCTACAGTTTACCTTTTTTGGAACTGCCTTGGCTCTTCTTGTTTGTAGTACTGCTGTCTGCCTTCTTTACATGTGCAGATTTTGAGGCTTTCTTACTCTTGGGTGTTGATTTGGGTTTGGCCTTTTCTTTTTTTGCAATTTTCTTTGGTGGCTAGAGTAGATGGATGGAAATATTTACATATATTTTTTTTAAATCATATGAAATCAGATTTAATGTTTTAATAGACATTACCTCCTCCTCTTCTCCCTCCTCCTCCTCCTCCTCTTCTTCTTCCTCTTCACTTTCTTTTTCTTCCTCTGAAGACTCTTTACCTTTTTTCTCATCTTCACTGCTAGACTCATCAGACAAAATCACATTGGATTTACGGCTTTTGGATTTCCGTGCTGAGCCTGAACTGCTACGTTCTTTTTTACCGCCCTTTGGAGTCTTTGATTTGGATTTTGGCAAGGACTATGTTAAACAAAACAAAAAAAACAATATTACTAATAAATACAAAATACATTTAAACCATTATGGCCTATTTACACTTGACATGCATTTGCATTCAGCAAAATGCATGAGTTTTGTTGCATTAGTGGCGTAATGGTAAGCGATTCGGCCTCGCAGCACTGAGTGTTACTGGTTTGAGTCCCGGCTTTTTGTACATATGGTAAAATTGCCTTCATGGAGTCCATTGGAAGACACTGGAAGTCATTTACTTGCAGGCTATACTGTCACCTACAGCAGTACTAAGAGCATGATCCTAAACACACATAGGGGAGGGACCTGTGTCACTCAAAAGACTCCAAGAAAAGTATTTTATGGCAAGTACAAGAATACAATTTTTTTTTCTCTCGTCCAGTAAGCGACACATCAAGTCATTCACATTTGGGACCAAAAGCAATTCATCTGAGGGGAAGAAAACACAGTAAACAAATGCTAACAGAGACTACATGCAGCTCAAAGAGCCCCCTGAAAGATTTCAAGTCTGAAGCTGGCATCATATGAAGCCTTAACATCCACCTAACAATTATAAGTCGTATAAAGCCTTGCAAATTTCAGAGACCGCTACTTGATGCCAAAAAGCCCAAGAGAAGTCAGATCTAGCAGTGTGCCTCGACAGGAAAAGGGTGGAACCCCATCCTTGAAACCATAAGCTTGGATGATGGTCTGTCTAAGCTACCTAGAGATAGTGGTACACCTTTATGTCGACCATATTGGATGACTAAAAGGGAAATGGAGATAGATGCTCAGTCAGAACCACATTCAGACAAGAGATTAAATTTCCTTTTGATGACCTGGATCCCGACAGGGGATGGAAGGAGAGAGTTGTAGCGATAGGTACAATCTTATTTAGCCATGAAGGAAGTTCCAGGCCTCAACACCTTATCCCTACGCGAAAGGGTTTTTTTTGCATGATCAGGCCGCCAGTTCAGATACTTGCCTTCGAGAAGCGATGGCTACAAAGAATACTACCTTGTGGGTGAGAGTAGAGCGAACCAAATTCAGATCCCATAGAATTATTATAGGGGAACAAACAGGGGAGCTAAGAGGGAGACTCCTTGTGCAAAGTTCTTAACCAAGTAGTGAGAGGTAAATGGTTGCTAAAAAGAAAAGGATCAGAAAGTGCAGAAACCTGACCTTTGTTAGTGACGAGAGCCAAACGCTGGTCCAGACACAGCTGTAGGAAGGAGAGAATTTGTCCCAGAGAAACTGCTCAGATAGAAGCCCCAAGGCTCACCAAGGAGACGTCTTAGCTTTTCACATCACCGATTCAGAGATGCCACGGTCTCAGAACCTGGGCTTCAACAACTAGGAGGGAAAGTTAAAAAACTGGAGCAGACAAAAACTGGAGCAGCTGTGCATGGCAGCCAGCTTCCTTTTTAGTTTTCAAATCTTAACTGAACAGACTGAAGAGAGAAGCTGATTGGTGGCCATGCACAGCTGCTCCAGTTTTGATAAATCCCCCCCCCCCATGTCCTTAAAACTAGCGACAATGAAGCAGGGTGGTAAATCTGTCCTGAAGACGGAAGATCCAGGCGACATGGTAGAACCCATGGAGCGCAAGCCAGGGGTCTTACCAGGTTGGAGTAAAACATCTGCCTGGGCCAATCCAAAGCAATGAGGATCACAGGAATGCCCTCCACCTCGATTCTGTGAAGCAAACAAGGTATGAGGTTTCATGAGAGGAAAGGAATAGATCAGGGTGTACAGATCTCAGAGTCACTAGAGCATCCACTGCTTCTGCAAGAACAGCGGTTCTCAACCTGTGGGTCGGGACCCCCTCGGGGGTCGAATGACAATTTGCCAGGGGTCGCCGGGAGTCAGTGGCATAACAACGGGGGGCCGCCGGGTAGCGATAGCCGGCTGGCCGGGAGGAGCACAATATTGAAACAGTCAGACCCGGCGGTAATCATGTAGTTGAGTGGACCGGGCTCCGGGCTTTTGCTGTAATTATCTCAGCTCCGCCCACTGTGCTGACTTCGGTGCCGCTCATCCCACACTGTCTCCAGCTGTCCCCCACCATGTGCCTTCTCTGGAGCCTCACACTACCTCCTCGGGGCCACTCTCTGCACTGTGGGAGGAGCCCTTCTCTCCTCACTGCCTCCTGGTCCCGAGCTGCAGGTACTAGTCTGTGTGTGCGTGTGTCTGTATGTATGTGTGTGTGTGTCATTGTATGTATGTGTGTGTCATTGTATGTGTCACTGTGTTTGTCAGTGTGTCATTGTATGTGTGTGTCATTGTATGTGTGTGTGTCACTGTGTCATTGAGTGTGTGTGTGTCTGTCACAGTGTTTGTGTGTGTCTGTCCCTGTGAGCTTGTAAGCTTCATCAAGTCCTAGTGCCCAATTCCTATGTTTCCGTGTCCTGTGCATTGTGTGACGTGTTGTATATCACTGATAGATATACTCTATATTGTATATAATAATCCAGGTCAATAAAGAGAGAGAGCTTTCCTGTGGAAGGTTTCTACACTGTCAGTACACAATTTGCAGGCATCACCGCCCTCCCCAATGGTGGATTTCCGGCACCTAATCCTGTCCACATACATTTTATTTAGGAATAATAACACTTTGATATGGAGGGGAAGTGTACAGGGACAATGAGGGCATGCTCGGACCTGTAGTTCCCAGGGTGATATGTGGTGTACAGGGATAATGAGGGCATGATGGGACTTGTAGTTGTACAGCCTCCGCATATCACCTAGGGAACTACAAGTCCCAGCATTCAGTGGCGTCACAAGGGGGTGCAGCCCGCACCCGGATGCCACCAGTGGAGGCGGTGACACCAATATGACTGTCATTTTGGTGTCACCCCCTCTAATAATACAAATAATAGTATTTTTTTTCTAAAAGAAAACAAACCTTTTATTATCATTATTATTAATAATAAAAGCTGACACCCTCGGCTTGTGTTATATGGTTTGCCATTTTAGCTGTTACAGCAGCGGTTCTCAACCTGTGGGTCGCTGTGTGATTTCTGCTGTGCTAGGTGAGAGTCCTCCTCAGCCCTCTCCTAGAGCAGCAGTGTCAGTTCTCCCGCCACATGTCGCTGCAGCACCCGCGTCAACCCCAAATTTTACCGTTGGGTGTCACCACAACATGGCAAATGTTACCAAGGGGTCCCGGCCCTAGAAAGGTTGAGAACCACTGTGCTAGAAGATCCCTATACCTGGAAACAATCCTGTTCAATTTGTTTTTGACCATGGAGGCCGGGAGGTTCCTCACCTGTGAACACCTCCAATTGTCAATGCTTGGAATATAAATGGTGGACAAGGCTGGAACCTGAAGTTCAGCCCAGGACAGGATCAGATTTACGGCTAGGCACGGATAGACTTCTGGTTCCTCCCCAATAGTTAATGCATGCCACTTCTGTGGCATTGTCAGACTGATCTAGATTGGATGACCCTCCTGCAGGTTGGTTTAACGTTGCAGAGGACAGCCAATTCACACAAAGCTCTAGAATATTAATAGCAAGAAGAGGATTCCTCCGAGTGCCCTGCATTGACATGGTGCTCAGGACTCCTCCTCAGCCCAACAGACTGAAAGCAAGGACTCCCCAAATTCTAGAGTCAGAATCCTGAGTCACCAAACTCCTGGTCTGGTCAAGGGCAACCTGGTCCTCAATGCCAAAGGAATTGGTCTGTCCAGTGACTCACCTGTCCTAAAATAACAAAATCTAGGAGGTCTGGAGTGAAACTGTTTGATTCAAATCTGATTTTTTTTTAACCTAAAACTTATTTTTTAAAATTTTTATCAAATGTATTTTAATAAAATGCATTTGGAGTAAAAAGCAGGTCAGAGGAGGAGCCGCTGGTGGACAGAGATGACAGTTGCTCTTAAAAATTATGATTGAAAAATAGGAGTTGATCAAAAGAAAAAAAAAAAAAAAAAAAAAAAAGGGTTC